AATGGGACACCACCTTCAGCTGCCCCAACCTCCACACCTTTACATGCTGATAAAAACTTGCATTACCTGCTTCCAGTGGATAAACTCTGATGTCTTCTATTTGTGACAACCTTCTACAATCTTAGCTTTGATGATGATGTCGCCGACATCGGGGTAAACTTTGGCTCCGCCTGTAGGCAGCTCTAAAGGCCAGGCTGAGGGCTGCAACAAGACCCACGAAAAATGGCCACCGTTGGTCCAATCTGCTTCAAACTCAACACTGCACTTCATTGGCTCCCCAGCAATTCACCTGCCAAGTTTTGGTGTGATTGGATAAACAGTTGTCGAGACAGACGAAGAACAGACACACACACAAACAGAGATAACTGGGACACGTGTTGAATGATCTGTGAAGTGTCACAATGGTCATAGAGAATGTGTTCGCAAACGGTTCACAGGAGATGTGTTTTTGCTTTGTGTGAGCTACAGAGAATCCAAAGTTTCTTGTTTGTGTCACCATAGCAACAGCAATAAGGCGACAGGTACTTACATGAAACAGTAAGATACCTATTTTAGCTAACTACACAACTTCCTTCAGTATTATAATCAGACTAGACAATAATCATGTTTGATAATCCATCCATCTTCTCCCGCTTATCCGGAGTCGGGTCGCGGAGGCAGCAGCCTTAGCAAAGCCACCCAGACTTCCCGATCCGCACACACCTCCCCCAGCTCTTCCGGGGGGTCCAGGGCCCTCTGTTAAGAGCTGTCCGTTCCCTGTACGACCGCAGCAGAAGCATGCTTAGCATTGCCGGTTATAAGTCAGACCTGTTGCCAGTGCGCGTTAGCCTCCGCCAGGGCTGCCCTTTGTCACCGGTTCTGTTCATTATTTTTATGGACAGAATTTCTCGGCGCAGCTAGGGGGAGGAAGGGGTTCGGCTTGGGAACCACAGAATTTCATGTCTGCTGTTTGCAGATGATGTTGCTCTGTTGGCTTCATCAAACCAGGACCTTCAGCGTGCACTGGGGCGGTTTGCAGCCGAGTGTGAGGCGAGCGGGATGAGGATCAGCACCTCCAAATCTGAGGCCATGGTTCTCGACCGGAAAAAGGTGGCTTGCCCTCTCCAGGTTGGTGGAGACTCCATGTTCGATAATAGCGCATGGAAATCTAATGTATTAACATGTTTAAATGCAACAATAAAATGATGGAAAATGACAAACTGATGTACAGATAAAAACACAGGTAACTTTGTGCAAATACATGATTGTGTTGTCCTAATTCTAAAAAGCTGTCAGCAGTAAGGATGCAGCTTTAAGTCCACTCGCGTTCTGAAGCCATTGTTCGTAAATCAGCGCCAGTGTTTCATTCACTTCATTCAAAGAGCGCTTGAGCTCGCACGGTGCTTCATTTGCAATGCATCTGTGGTGACGCTTTGTACAAACTGTATATACAGAGAAACTGCCTAACTAATGCATGACTCATGATAATTTCATTTATGAATTAATGAAGGATGTATTATGAATTCTCCTCGCTCACCATGAACAAGTGATTTTATGAGATTAGCTCACACGTCTCCCCGTTATTACCGACTGCAAATTCACAGTTACATACATTAATTGATATGCTGCTGTGGATAGACTGCACTAACAAAGAGAAGGGGGTGTTTGGTCAGTCTCTGAAAGCACAACAGGGTCAGAGCTGTGTTGCTTTTAATAAAACTGGTGATCAGATAAAAAAAAATCTGCATGTTGCCAAAAGAGCCAATTGGCTTTTTACTAATTCTATTATTTATTGTGCTGATCTCACACTCGTGTGTAAAACGATCAGCATTTCTGAACAAGCACACATTTGATCCTTTTTGAAACGGTGCCTACAGATAGAGCTGATACACTGAAACGAATGCCATTTTCTGGCTATTTTCATCATTTAAGTGGATTCTAAAAACAGATCAGTCACGCGGGTGAAGTAAACACACACCTCTACATTTCTCACACCTTAAAAGCCATCAGATTAGGCCCATTGATTAGAGCTTCTTCAACAACAGACAGGCGGAATTTGTCTTATTTAAACCTCTGACATCTAGGCTCTGCTGTTCACGTTGCTATTAGGGTGTGTGGTGTCATGCCAAGATCTAAAGAACTCTCGAAGGCCTTCAGGAAAGAAAGAAAAAAACGGTGTGGATGCCTATGAGTCTAGCAAAGGATATATATATATATAGAAAAAAAAATCCCCAAATGGTTTGATATAAATCATTCCACTGTGAGGGAGAACCATGTACCGAGTGGTGAAAATTTCAACAGACTGCCAATTTCTGCAGGATTAGCTGCTCCAGTAAATTCAACCGCAGAGCAAAAGCCTGACTTCTATTACTTAAGTGGGCTATATGTTTGCACCTTTATTCGAGAGTGTTACAGCATTATATTTTACTTTTAATTATTCCAACTTAGAGCCACGGTTACACATATATCATCCTCTCACTGTACATTATCTAAATTTAAAAAAAAAAGAAGATAACTTTCACAACTTAAATGATGCACTGGTGGCTCGGAAATAGAAAATGCTCATGACGTTTTGACACAGAAGGGGGATTGTCTCTCAGAGACAGAGGGAGGAGACGGAAAGGTTAGAAGATTTGGGTGAATGATGAAATTTTCTAGGCTGACCAGTGGAAGATTAGGTTTATGAACAATCCATAAAATAAAAGGAGAGATCATATTGAAATACACTAGACATTCAGTGCAACATAAGTGACTACACCTCTGATGATCACAAGTTAGAATAACATTATTCGTTAAACTTGAGCACACTTCTGATTTCCGATTATTCCAACTGCTTGTAAAAATGACCCATAAACACCAGAACCTTCTGAGTTTCGGACCAGCGTCTCTCTGCATGTCTGCATCATGGCTCCACATAGCAAAGGAATCACCTGAGGAACTGAAAAGCCTGACTGTGAGACTTCACAAAGATGGAAAAGGTTAAAAAATCAATAGAAACGCGGTCGCAGCAGTAATCAAGAGCTATAGAACGAGCCGTAGTAGCACTAATTAGAGACACAGCAGTCGTCCTCTTAAATGACGCCACAGACAGTGCACCGCTTGCACAATCTCGCTCTGAAAAACAGATGGGCGAGCGCCTCGCACTTGGCTCAGTGGCTATGAGTGGAAATTGGAGTTTCTCTGACAGCTCAGAGGGTGTGAAGGACATTGCATAATATGAATCTGGGCTGCACCGTGGCTCGGTTGTTAGCACCGTCGCCTCGCAGCGAGGAGGTTGGCGGTTCGCGTCCTGGTTGGGACACCTGGGTTCTTTGTGCATGGAGTTTGTACAGGTTTTAAATTGTCTGTAGATGTGAGTGTGTTTGTTTGTCTCTCTCTGTGTAGCCATGTGATAGACTGGTGACCTGTCCAGGGTATCCCCCTGAGTCAGCTGGGATAGACTCCAGACCCCCCACGATACAAGCGGTGTATAGATGTTGGATGGATATTATAAATCTCTACAGACAACATCCAAGACAAAAAAAAATCCTCACGTTCTGTTCCCTACTAAATTGCAAGATGAAACTTTGGGAGCACATTCAATCGAGACCAAAACATTTGGCTCAGATGGGCTCCAGCAGGTTTGGCATGAACCTGGACAGTGAATGCATAATCCTGACAGTGCAGCACAGAGGTGGGATGATATGAGGCTGCATGAGTGCAAAGGGTGCTGGGGAGATGACATTTATAGATGGCACCATGGATACTGGCTGACAGTATTTGGCAAAAGAGGAATCTTAACCACCCAAAGCACACCGCCAAAATAAAAGTCTATTTATTGTTTTGTTTTTTTCTTTATTTTGAAACAAAAATTTAAAACAAAAGTCAACATTTGTCACAGAAAATCCAAGTTTTAAAGTTAGTAAAGGGTTTTGGAAGAAGCTGAACACTTATATATACCAATACCAATTATATGACAATAATAACTTATATACTGACACTTTCACAGTGTCTCATGAGAATATTAAGCACATTACACAACACACAATACCTTCTCAAAATAAATCATAATACACAGTTACATTGATTTTAATAATAGCAGCACATCTTTTAATCATATCTTTTAGCACTATTGTTTGACATGATTTTTTGTTCTCACTGCAGCTGTTGTTGCGACCCTAGTGAGGAGTGAACGTTGCGTAGATAATGGATGGATAATATAAATCTCTACAGACGACATCCAAGACAAAAAAAAACAAAAAATCCTCATCCAGCATGATTGGCATGAACCTCGTCAGGATGACCACAGTGGATGTTTAGTCCTGACAGTGCAGCACAGAGGTGGGATGACATGAGGCTGCATGAGTGCACAAGGTGTTGGCATTTATAGATGGATACCGGCTGACAAGGTGACTCCCAGTCTGCAGAGGTTTGGCGAAAGAGGAATCCTTTAACCACCCATTTATTGTTGATGAGAAAATGCTCATTATGTTTTGACACATAGGGGGAATTCCTCGTTATAGGGGAGGACAGAGACAGAGAGGTCTGAAGCTTTGCGTGATTTTTTTGCAATTTATTTTGAAGGTATGCGCGCCTCGAATAATATTCAGTCTTAGTAACAGATGATTTCATGGGAGTGAATTAATGACACATACAGACGCACAGGCGGAGAGAGAGAGAGAGAGAGAGAGAGAGAGAACACCTTGCTGTTGCCGGTGCCTCCGGTTGGCTGCGCTCTCCTCCCTCCTCCTCCTCTTCCTCCTCCTCGGCACCGGACGGACACCGGGAGCGCACGGTGAACGCATGAAGGATGAATGAACTTTAAATCTGCCTCACAACTTTCACTGCCTCTCTCTCTCTCCTGCGCTGCTCGCTGCTGCTCCAGAAGCAACACAAAAAACCCCAGAGGAAGATCTCTACAATGGATTTACTGCCATCGCGTAGCTATTGTGAATAATCACATCTCTTTATTTTATATATATATATTTTTTTTCCTCTCCTTCTTTCTTCGCGGATGCTCACTAGCGTCGTGAGTCGAGATGATGGCATCAATAGGGGAATTCGATCCTCTCAACACCAGAGTCCCTGCAACTAAAATAGAAGTTACCGTGTCGTGCAGGTAAGGTCAAAGTCTCACACATGGGGGATGTTTCCAGCTTGAACAAGTCTCATTGATTCACGTTTGTTTGATCTGAAATCCAGATTAAGGAGAAAAACTGCAGCAATTTTATACAAATTATTTAGATGTGTGCTTCTTCTTCTGATATCTTTAAGTGTACATGTCACAAGAGGAACATCTGAAGCCTTTAAGAATGTCAGATTTTCAATGCAGACTATCTATCCATCCATCTGTCTGTACTTTCTGATGCTCTTTGCTCTCATGCTACCTGCTTAAACCCATCAGCTGCCTCCATATGCAGCAAAACATTTTTTTAAAAATCCTTTACTATCTCCTGGTTTTTGCATGAATTCTGCTCCCTGACATTCACAGACATGCATCAGGTCTCAGCAGGTGAATTGTTTGTGTGGCACCGTGCAGCAGCAACATCCACAACTGCGATTCAATTTCTAACCCTGATTGCACTTATATGTGCCATGGCTTCACTATTTTGTGTCCGGCTGGCTGGCTGACTGGCTGAGCAGCAGAAGTCAGGGTTTTTCCAGACCGCCAGCCTGCCTGCCTGCCTGCCGGTGCGCTGACTGTCTTTCCAATCCACTCCTGAATAATGAATAGCTGTTGCTCCTGTGTAGTCCCTCCTGAGATCAGCCAGACTTGAAGTGTCCAGACACCTGAGCGAGACAGAACAATCCCGGGTGGGCGAAAGTGTGTTTAACCTTGAGTTTGCACTGTTGTAAAAGTATGGGTTTTATTTTGCCTTGAATCATTGGATTTTTTTATAAGACATGATGACAACAGCCAGCAGCTTGATATGGAAACCTGGAAGCCTGAGGGAAGCATCATCATCACATCTCACTAATTATTAAATATTACATCTTGTTTGTTTAATCTGCACAAAAAACCGAAATGTAAAAATGACAAGTTGTGGTTTATGAGCAGGATTGATAAGGGAATAGAGGACTGAATAGACTGAACAGGCTTGTATAAAGGCATCATGTGTTTGGGTTGTCACAGTTACATTACTGCAACGCATTGTCACGAAAAAGTTTAATTCCAGATTCACTGCTCTCCTCCTGCAGACAAATAATTTGCTCCCCAATTAAAACAAATCTATTATTGATCTGGATGGAAGGGATGAAAGGTCAGGCGTGTTTAGTTAACACTAATCATACGGGCTGCACACTGTATGAGCAATCAGCATCAATATCTCACTGTTGCATGAGCAGGTAGTCAAGACGTGAAATGAGAAGGGAAGTCTCTCTCATCGTCATTTTGCACCAAGTTTTTATTTATTTGTTTTGAAAAAGACAGAGTTTGTTGATACAAAACGAGCGAGGAGAAACACTGAAAAAGGAATATTAGTCTGCAAAAAAGAAATGTAACGAGATACTTGGAAATATTTCAGCTACAGAAAGGACGATGTTGACCAAAAGAATTGTCTCGAAATTGTTGCAAACACAACAAAGTAGTTTGACGATTTAAATCAGCACAACAAAGTTCTGTATGACAAGTCCTCCCAAGCAAAAAAATACATATTTATATAAACATATACACTATATGAGGACGGTTCCAAACTGCTTTTTTCAGTTTTATTTTATGTATCTATTAAAAAACAACAACAACAACAAAAAAAACGCAGATCACTCTAGACTGATTAACTCTTTATCTGGTGAAGTCTCAGAATTTATTTTTTAGAAAACCAAAGCATTGTAATGTCAGTTTTTATTTACTGTCTACTATTGTATTATATCTGTTTGACATAGATATGATTCTAAACATAATTTTTATTCAGTGCTAACCACAACACATACCTCTCTAACATGGACATGACGTCTCTGCTGGTGTGCAGTTTTTATGTTTTGCCTTCAGAGTCAGGCTAGTTTCCGCCCCTTGTTCCAGTCCTCGTGCTAAGCTACGCTAACCAGCTGCTTTCTGTAACTTTATATTTAGCCTGAATGTGAGTGAAATCCACAGCAACTAAAGTTGGCCAATAAACATCCAAACTCTGGCAACAAACTCTTACTCAGCTGTTCATGTGGAGGCGCC